TTAGTGGTCTCTAAAAGCACGAATTGCTTTCTTGTTACAATCATTTTTAGTGTTTTTAGAGAATATTGTTCTAAGAACATGTTCCAGCTAAGTGCTGGTTTGTTAACATTTACTCGTTATTATACTGAGAAACTTCACTCAAATTTGGAATATCCCAAACATCGTGTAGTTAGTCTGTGAGTAGGTTTGCCTTGATTTAAATTTAAATTGCCTTGATCGCTTACAAAATGCCTACAAGCTAGAGTTTTTAAAGTCTCCAGAATGACACGAACCATATTCGGGTTTTAAATGTCGCAGATTCTATTCATAAAATAATGTCATTACAGGTATTATTATTTTACGACGAAGACTTGATAAATGAATACATTGGTGTATCTTACTAAAATTAAATAAAACAAAAGTTATAAATAGATCAAATCTATACAATACATACAATAACAAATAAAATACATATAATAAATGTATACTAGCTAGAGTTCAATTAATTTCGATCACTGTCTAATTAATTTCGATGATGTTCTGTAGGTTTTGTATATTATTATAGATATTGCTTTGTATAAACTTAGATGTAACTGTCCCTTACCATGCCGTGACAACTTGTAAGTAAGACAACACTCAGCAAATATTTGTAAAACATGTTTGTAAACTATGTATTAGTGTATGTTTTTTAAGTTGTCCTAAATAAATAAATAGAGTTTAGTATATCTAGTTCCAAAAATACATAATAAATAGTCTGTCTATCATCGACTAGTCACTATTCGTAAAAACTCTTTCAATTACATAATTTCCACAACTTTCTTGCGACCGCCGACCACTTCATTAAGAGTAGACATAAAATATTAGTCTGTGGTTGTACGAGAGAGTTGCACAACTTAATAGTTGTACAGTTAGTGCGACCGGGAACCGGTTCGGATACAGGGCATCGAATGCCCGTTAGCTATCCTAGCATTGGAGATGGTACAAGGTACAAGAACCTTCGTATAATTTGTTATTCACAGCTTCGAATCAAACCAAATCCTTTATTTATTTATATAATATGTATTATTTTTCCATTCTACTCTGTCATGCGTCATCTTTCTGTTTACTCCCTTCCTAGCCATATCCTCCCTCACGCAGTCCATCCACCTCTTCTTCGGTCTGCCTCTTCTCTTGTACCCTTCAACTCTCATACCTAAAACTTTCTTCGCCACATTTTCCTCATCCCTCCGCATCACATGTCCATATCAAGATAACCTATTACTTCTTAACTTTTCATCCAGTGGCGCTACTTTCAGACTCCCTCGTATATACTCATTCCTAACCTTGTCCATCTGAGCATTTACATTTCGGCTACGTTCAGGCGTCTCTCATCCGTTCTCTTAATGGGCCAACTTTCAGAACCATACAGGACAACAGGTCTGATAATAGTTTTATAAATTTGTCCCATCAGTGTTGAACATTGCGTCAGTCCTAAATAAAATTGTGCTTACTTAAATTATTTAAGGGGCTCACTTCTTAACAAATATTCAGCATCCATTACGCGCGTATATATTTCATTTATACTGATTAAATGACATCATATTTTGAAATGTTCTTCTACCTGCCGACCTCTCTACCTGACCTGGGTCCCATGGGAGCAGTTGGCGCTAGTGTAAGGGAGCAGGCCTAACTTTATTCCAAATATGCGGGACCAAAAATAAAATCATCTAGTGCATTTGGACAGGTATAAAGGCATCAAAAATATCTGCAACATGTTATTAAGTGGTTACAAAACTCGCTGTAAGCTTATAGTTCTCGCCTCCGCTGCGACATCGTGATAAGAACTAGTAAAGAAATGTTACTGAAAAACCGTGAGATTACGAGTGGAACTCATAGCTGCAATCACACGATTTTTGTTTATGTAATATTACATCATAGAATTCAATGCGCACGATACTACGAATATACGGAAATATATATATCTAATTCGATAATTGTGTGTGAAATGATTCTATAGTTGTTTGATTTTGAAGCCTTTTATGTAAATGGTTTAATAGTTAGGAGTAATATTTTTTGTTGTTCTTCTGGCCTCTCCGATGCAGGACAGATACTAGTACAAGTCTCCTCGCTATTCGAGACTTGCAGTATACCATCAATCTCACTTTATTCGTGTTTCCCTATTTTTATTCCACCCTTGTTACCAGAAGGTAAATAAAAGAAGAAGGCAAACAGGGCAAAGTAAAAATACTTTGTCACACCTGAACACGAATTACATTCCCAAGGATTGGCCTCATACAGACTATTAAAAAAACCAGCGCAAACTTTTAGCAATGTTAAACCCACATAAAATTTATAATAAAGAACTGTAATTATAATGATAGCCTTAATTTTCTAGCTAAGATGCTTTGACGCATCCTCGACCCAGTTTTCAAAAAGACGTGATCAAACTTTCGGGTACATTCTGATCCGTCAAGGAAACTGGTGGATAGTGATTGACATCTATCTAAATCTACAATCACAACATAAACGTTATCATTAAACAGGATGCGCTTAAAATACAAAGAATGACTTATCTTTTCCTCGCAACGGTGTACATACATATGTACATGTAATATGTGTAAATTCAATGTCATCATCATCAACAGCCTATACTAGTCCACTGCTGGACATAGGCCTCTCCTTAGAAAGGAGGTTTTGGCCTACTATATCACGCTGGCCAGACTGGTTGGTATAGGGTTTGTTTCAAGTTTTCCTTCTCTTTGCAGTGCTGTTGTCCTGCTTAGTTTGCTCACTTAGTCGGCTCTTACGACACAAAGGGGATGAATTGGGGTGGTGACAATTTGTATTCTTAATCCGTCACCACACGGTTTCAATTCAATTCAATTCAATGTCACCAGTAACTTAATGCATGGTCCCACGCACACGAATAAAACAATAAGTAGGTATATAAACGTAAGTTAAACACATACGAGCAACCTTGACTTAAACGTGACGACAAGGATCGAGAGAAAGTATTCGTTTGATGTTCAATATTAGCGTGAGTACTCTTCGTACATAACTATATGTAGATATCAACTGCTCAATAGGTCTTGTAAAATTGATGTACAGTTACTTGAGTACTGAAATTCTTTCTTTAAAAAATATATATTCCATGCAGTTCACTTGCATATGGTCTTGTTCCGCTCCTAAGATTCGGATGTTTTATCTATACAAATAAATAAAATTGGAGTGTCTGTTTGTAATATTAAAATAACCGCTTTTTACTAAATGAATATGTATGTTTACACGGTACATATGCCAAAATAACATTTTTTACAATTTTTGTCTGTCTGTCTGTCTGTCTGTTTGTTCCGGGTAATCTGGAACGGCTGGACCGATTTCGACGGGACTTTCACTCGCAGATAGCTGATGACATAAGGAGTAACTAAGGCTACTTTTTTTAGACTAGCTTCGCCCCGCGGCGTTGCCCGCGGTTATAACAACAAACGCGGGTAACACCGCGGGTCTCAGCTGGTAATCAATATAAATAGGCTTGTTACAATCTGCCCGATAGTTCTTAACATTAGTCATTTTAAAAACCGCAGATTAAGAAAACTTTTCAGCTTTATTATATTTGTGTAGACTGGTATAATAAGTTATGTTAAATTGAGTCATGGAAATCTACAAACATAAAATGTAAAGTTGGTACGCTGTTGTGTACGCTTTATAAACTCAAAAATTCTGCACTGATTAAGTTTCAATTTTGACACTTTATAAGACCCGCTTGAAAAATTGTATTTCGTATATTTTTCGCTTCAGTTTTGTTCTTAATTTTTTTATTTATTACTTTATGCACTTTTGTACATCGGCGGACTTAATGCCCAATTTACCTTTAGGTAGTGTAGAAATCGTGAGTGGTATGCGCATATAGGTTATAACACTAATCACTAAGATATACACCACAACACAATACACGTAATTTTATACACAAACAAATACACACTATACACATACATACACTATACATATATATGTGTATCTTCACATATACAAACATAAATTCCCATTATATTCGTACACCATCAGTGTAGGAAAATGGCTGCTGCGCTATCGATTCGATGATTCTGCCGTCGTAATTTCTCATCACTGCAACCATAATCTATATAAACTAATTAACTTTGTTAGAATATTGGTTACTATTTTTTACCTATATCAGATAAAGATAAAGGAAGATAATAACAGTTACAAGATATTATATTAGCTAATTATAATTATTTTATTTCTCAGCAATAACAAACCGCTTTTTTGTTGTCGTATGATTTCAAAAGCATCTTGCTTTACTCGTTACTGGGTGAAGGTCCCGTATCTCATATCAAAGCTACTTGATTACGTGTAATTATACCTATTGTAATCACCGGTCGTTTATGGGACCACGGTTATAGTCCCATAGTCGGATGTCTCGATGTGGATGTAATAATTATATCTTTGAAGGCTCCATCAACTTTGTGGATATTGCGAAAACTGGAAATTGTTTTATTGAAGATAGGAAATCCTACAGTAATGATTATATACGTTATTGCTACTTTGTTAGATTGTAAGATGAGATGGTCAAACATGTAATAAAGAAGTAAAAATAATAGGTTTGTAATGCTAATGGAAATATCTAATGATCGTAAACATGAGTGAGGCCAAGACCCTACTTTCCCCTATCCCCCCCCCTCCCTCCCTCCCTCTATATTCCCTACCAATGTCGTCATCTCCGTCACATTGTCGAAACGTACAACACACACCTTGGCAATGTTGACATTTTCGCACAGTCGCACACAAATTTCAAAATTGCACAAACTCAAACTTTTAAAACTTCACTTTAGGCTTTAATTACCACAATCTATATGAAATTAAAAAAAAAATGTACACGATTATCTTCATTACTGTAAATATTATTACGCACACATTGGTGTGAGTTGCACGTTTACTCAACAAATTATTTACTCTAATTTTAAATGACCTATTAAGTACTCAACGTATAACTGTTAAATATCGCATAAAACAAAAATAAAAAAATGAAATTTCTGGGGGAAAGGTGGTTGTTATCTACAAAGGGTGGTAACGTCGTAAGATGTCACCGGGAACCAGGTGTACCCTAGGAAGGAAATTTCTGGAACCCCGACGGAACCTGGGCCATCTACGCCTTGTAGATGACCCCCTCGTGTGTGGGAACCACGGTATTCCCCTTCTACTACTGAAAGGGCTCGAGTGCGCCACTGCGTTACAAGTCGTTTTCGAGAAGTCTGATGGACCGGGAGAGTTCTAACCAACCCGTCTGGCCAGCGTGGTATAGTAGGCCAAAACCTCCTTTCTAAGGAGAGGCTTATGTCCAGCAGTGGACTATTAAAGGCTGTTGATGATGATGATGATGATGACTTTTAATGATAAAAAAATTCTCACATTTTATACGAATTAAGATTTGTCAAACAATAAGTTTAATTATGAAATATCTATCCATTACAGGTTCAATTCGGAGAGCAACTACGCAAACTAGTACGAACACGACGAGGGATTCGCAGCTGCTCTCTTTGCTCGCCGCTCGTCGGCGACAACTGCTCAGTGGAAGATTGGCGACACATATCAACACAATAGCTTCATTAGCACAGAAGGCTAACAAGTTTGTATTTAATTTGGCTAATTTACTCAACCAAATGCGCATAAGTCAGAACATCTTACAAATAAGTAAACAAAGTTATATGTTCAATCACAATGACAAAATTGCCATACAAAATATAGATCGAAATATTACTGTTGAAAATGTTTTCCTGAAATGCATTCTATTGTTGAAAATGTTTTCTATATTAATTACATCTTTCGTTTCATCATATATAATTTTTAACTCCAACTTTCGTTGCTTTCAGAACAAACACAACATTTGCCCAGTTAGAAATACGAGACTCAAACAACTCTACAGTGAAGAGAATTACGTTTGAAAATTCTAATAAGGAACCGTCGCCTACATTAAAACTTGTAACGTCTGATGGTACGAAGGAAGTAAGACAAGATGTCAAGCCTCATGAAATACGACATTTATTCATACCTAGACTCTATCAAGAGAACAGGAGCAGAGCAGCATTTAAGAATAACAGAAGACGAGACGGCTACAACAAGGCTGTTACGGTACCTGAAAGAATAGAAGTAACTGAACCTACCATTATTTACGTCCCACCCGAAAAATATGAAAATCTGGATAAAGATATCGAATTAGATCCTGAAGAAGTCTTTCAAGTGGACGAATCGAATCACGGCCTGTATTTACTTAATTATTCCGACACAGAAAATATAACACAATATAGTGATTTTAATAATACGGTTTCTAATAACGTAGTTTCGGAAGATGCTTCTAAAATAGAAAATACGACACAGGTTAACGAGGTGCCGACTCTAAACATAACGACTCTAAAACCTGAAGAAAAAGATTCAAATGAGAAATTAGAAGCTAACATAATAGTTAACAGTACTTTAACGGATATTAAAAACACAAAACTGATAAGGGTGGAAAATGATAAAGGAAATCAAACGTTATTCTTGTCTGATGAAGTATACAATCGCTTTGGTCCTCTAGAGTCTGAGCTGCCGGTCGAAGAAATGGCACCTTTCAAGTTTTTTGGTCAAAAACTCGGCGGCCAAGTAATATCAGATAATTTAACTGATTCTCCATCGCTATCAGCATCAACAAAATCTGTTAACTTTATTGTGCCACCTTCCGATAAACGAAAATTCAATTCAAGATATTCAGCCACTGAAAAATACAAAAATATAAGTGTAGATGAAGAAGAAGTGAATGAGGATATGGATGTATCCGTTGTGAAAAATATCATAGAAAAGAATAAGATACGAAATACTGTCAAAGGCCCAGCACCTGCTAGGCACGTGGGCTTAGTAAACGCGTATAGAAAGTTTTCAAGTTCCACACCATCTACTACCAAATCACCAACTACAGCACAACTAAATGTCACTGAACCAATTATACAAAATGTGACACCCAGTACCTTAGATAAGGATAGCAATATAACATATACCACCAATAGTACTATAGTAAATAATTCAGCCCTTAAAGAGAATGTTACCCTACCTATTTTAAAAGATAATCCCTTTAATAAAACTAATACAACGATTACACCTAGAAATTATACACGCACTTATTCAAGTCCAAGAAGACGTCCATCAAGAGTTACTACAGTTAGCACTGAAATAATTCCCATTCTTTCTACTTTGCCGATAAATGTCACCACTGAAAAAACATCTACAACATTTTATACGGCTGTTGTAACATCCGTATCAATAACATCTTCTATGAAAGGACAAAATAAAACTGATACAAACATCAAAGAAGTTGACAATAGTACTCTACCTCAAATAAGCCAATTGAAGACGATCAATACAACCGAGGAAGTAAATAACAGTTCAACGCCTAAGGCGATTCCACTGAACGTAACTGAAACTGCAACTACTTCTCCCTCTACTCCACGTCCGTACCGACACAGAATTAGAATCAGAACTACAACTACCGAAAATCCAAATCCAACAATTACGCAACCTCTGCAAGCTAGCGAGTTATCATCAAAAAATGTAACTCAGAGCAGAAATGAAACAGAATCAAAAATTTCTGAAAGACTAGCAATTCTATTTCGGCAACCCAGTACAGAAAGCCCAACAGATGGTACAATAAAACCTAAGAATATCTTAAAACGAAAACGGCCAACGACTACAACGAGTACTACTACAACAACAACTACCACTACTACTACGACTCCTGCACCATTACTATCAACAGAAACATCTACTGAACCTCACACTCCCTCAACTCAGGCTCCAAGTACTACACATTATACAACTGTTTATACTACAATAGAACCCGTAGAAACCACACCAGCTTTTAAACCATTTGTAGTCACATCTAGAACATCTTCAGAATCTAGTTCAAAATCGGTTCTAATTTCAAGCAACATAACTAAGAATACAGCAAGCAAATCAGTAAATAAGACTGATGGTGAAAAATCTGAGAATGGAAATGAAGAGGTTGTTATAGAAGCAGAAAAGGCATATACAGCATCTTATGTATTAGCAGGACTAGGGTTTTTACCAGTTGCAGCGATTGTAGTTTTTGTTTTAAGAAGTGTACTGAATAAAAAAACCAAAGATATTGATACGGAATATGAAGGTTACTTCGAAGATGGTGATATAAAAAAGGAGTCACCCATAACACCAGTTGCAAGGCCACCGCTGCCTATACCAACAAATAAGCCTGATCAAAAGTGGGAGTTTCCTAGGGGTAAGCTGCGGTTGCAGACGTTATTAGGTCAAGGAAATTTTGGTCAGGTAAAATATTTATGTGATTTTATGTCAGTTTTATTGATATAATATTGCAAATGTATTAAATTGCTATTATCAAACATGTTTTATCAGGTTTGGAAAGCTGAAGCTGACGATTTGAACGGCCATGACGGATTGACTAGATTAGTTGCTGTTAAGAGCATCAAAGAAACGGCTACGCAAAAGGAAAAACAGGAACTACTTCACGAGATTTACATCATGCAAAAGATTGGAACACATCCTAATGTTGTAACATTGCTTGCATGTTGTACTGAACAAGGTGAATTTAAATTAAATGTTGTAAACAAAACAAAAATTCTTTCTTGACCTTAAATTTCGTAAGGTAAATTTTATTTTCTCTTTTCTCAGAACCCTACCTACTGATAATGGAATACGTAATGTGTGGCAAGCTTCTTACGTATTTAAGAGAACGTAGATCCCGGCCCGATCGCTTTAGTGGCAGTGGCGCGCTCACTTCCAGAGATCTGACTGTGTTCGCGTACTGTGTAGCAAGAGGCATGGATTATATTGCATCTAAAGGGGTGAGCTCATCACCTAATAATTACTTTAGTAATTAGTGCAAGAAAATGTTCACTGACACTCAAGTACGATGAAAACAAAACTACCCACGAATTCATCCATCTACAGTCTATTTGTCCATCCAAAGGTTGCCTTTAAAAAATTGCTTTTTAGCTATAAGGCCGCCATTTGTACATGGTCATTATCTTGATATACTATTGTATGTCTGATATATTAAACTGGTGTACAATGAAGTTTATTCTATTCTATTTTACGATAAAATATGCAAAGCTATACTTTTGTGATTTTTCAGATCGTCCATCGTGATTTAGCTGCACGCAATGTTCTTGTTGACCATAACAAACTATGCAAAATTGCTGATTTTGGTATGTCGCGGTGCGCCGGAGCCGGTGCAAGAGCTCCTAGAGGAGCGTTACCAGTTAGGTGGATGGCTCCTGAAGCTTTACTGTATAACGTGTACAGTCATCACACTGACGTGTGGGCTTTCGGGATTCTGTTATGGGAGATCGTTACACTCGGTACGTATTATTTTACATCAAAACTGTGTAAACATTTATTGATGTCTTGGAATAATTCAATTCTAAAAAACAAAGTACTTTTATTTTATTTCAAATATTTTAAAAATTTCTGTAAGTAATGAATATTGGGATTTTGTAAATATTTCTACCAGTAATATTCTCCAGTCTAAAATATTTAATAAAACTTTTTCAGGTTCAACGCCGTACGCAGCTATGTCCGGCCGTGAAGTTTTAGCAGCCGTTACTGAGGGCTATCGATTAGAGCGACCTCCACACTGCAAGCCTCAACTGTACCGAGCCATGCACTCCTGCTGGCATGCAGACCCTTCTCAAAGACCAAGTTTCGCAGCTTTGAAAGGGCAACTTGCAGAACTCCTAGATAACGAACCTTCAGAAGGAAACTACGTGGATCTTGACTCATTCTATCAAGAATCTTCAGTGTATAGTGATCCCTCAGCAATCATTAATGACGACGAAGGGCTATCTGCGGAGTACGACAGAGAGAGGCGGAGTTTTAGAGAGTAAGTAATTTCAATCAGAGACTTGACACGGGGGGTTCATTCAGATATAAATTATTTGAAATCAGTGAATTTATTAAATATCAGAAGCGTTAGTCGCATTAACCGTCTCCACCACTGTGTTTAAAGTCTTTTTAACACATGTTTAAGGTTGAAAAAATATGGATTTCTTTTAAAAATCCTATTAAACTAAATCAAATTCTAAACCTTTTATTATTGCTTATCGTGTGTATATCGTTAACAAATCTTATGTAAATAGGTATTTGAAGTATTTGGACAGTATATAATTATATGCTTGTTTATGTATATTTGCATTAGTCTGTATATAAAGTTGTACATACATATGTATCGTTCCATCGTTCCACACGGCAAAATTATCACCCTCATCACCTGGATAGTTGGCGCTCCACTATTGTGCGCTTTTCGAGACACTTTTTGCCCCGCACAACCAATCTGTGGAACGGGTTATCGTCTGCGGTATTTCCGGACCGATACGACCTTCAAGAAAAGAGCGTACTCCTTCCTATAAGGCCGGCAACGCGTTTGTGACTCCTGAGTTGCAGACGTTCATGGGCGCCGATGGTCACTTTCCATCAGGTGACCCGTCTACTCGTCTGCTCCGTCTAACCTAAAAAAAAAAAACATAACATACTTAGGGCATACTAAAAGTTTTTGGATTTTGATAAATAGTACTAGATATCAGACTTACGATACATTTATTGTTTTCCAAAGCATATTCCAGAGCAATTAGTACATTTTTGCATTCGATTGTGCAAAATTTCATGTCTAGAATCGAATCGAATGCAAAAATTCTTCTTTTTCTAATTCTTTTCTTCTTTCTTTATAGATATAGATTGATTTTTCTAATTCCGGAATTTATAACTATGTATATTGTAATTAGCACATTGAGATTAAGACATTGATCGGTTTAAAAGTTATGTTATTTATGTTATTTCTGTATTTATTATAAATAATTAGTCGCCTTTATCGTTGTTCGCCATAGACAATGGGGTCCTTGATAGAACTATAAATACCATACATAAAAATATATGTGATATGTAAATTATACTTTGTGTCTAATAATAACATGCTTTCTATATTTCTGTGCACACATTCTATAATATTAATTTAAAAACCATAACATATAAGTATGTTTACGGGGATTTAAGCTCTAATACCCGTTAACATAATAACTCATTTTAAAACAAAGGCAATCCCCAATACATAATGCTTGTAGTTTTTACAAAAAAATAAATCAAGGTATTTTTTTTCTTGAAATTTTTACTTTCACCCGACTTTCAGTGATCGGGTGTAAAAAAAAACACAAAATCACTGAAAGTGGAGAGATTGCAGCATTCTGGGATTTTTAAGGATTGTGATGGATATATATTAATATATTGTATATAAACATGCCGCCTGCCGTGAGGTGACGGATTAAGAATACAGAGTGTCACCATCCCTATTCATCCCGTGGGTGTCGTAAGAGACGACTTAGGGGAAAAATTACGCAAAACAACAGCACTGCAGAGAGAAGGAAAACTTGACACAAACCCTATACCAACCCGTCTGGCCAGCGTGGTATAGTAGGCCAAAACCTCCTTTCTAAGGAGAGGCATGTGTCCAGCAGTGGACTTTTAAATGCTTTTGATGATGATAAGTCTAAAGTGTATAAGTCGCTGAAAGTTTAAAAACAATTATATTCCAAAAAAAGTTTGTATAAAACCAATCTAATAATGAAAATTGCAGCAGTGGACTGTTAAAGGCTGTTGATGATTGATGATTGATGAATATAAATATGCGATTAATTTATGCATGGAAAAAATACAATTATTTGAAAAACTGTGTTGATGGTAGTTAAAAATATCGCAAGAGGTGTAAATTCTCTAGACTTTTTTTGTTTTATGTTAATTAAAAAAATTTTTTTTATTTAATTTCTCGAGTAGTCATAAGCAGGTCAACCATATACATTTCTTTAAAAACAAGAAGGAAGAAATTATAAAAAAAGTTAATGCTTACAATTATATTGTCGATGCATTTTAAGATTTATAAATATTTGGTATCTTGGTTATAAGTGTGGATACTTAATTAGATACACTTTTGACGACCGGATGGCGTAGTGGTTTGTGTAACGGACTGCTAATCCAAAGGTCGCGGGTTCAATTCCCGCTTAAGTCAAACATTTGTGTGCATTAACATTTAATGTTTGATTTGGTATGGGTGTTTCTATGTAAAATATGTATGTACAAAAAAAAAGTATAAATGTATTTATATCAGTTGTCTAGTACCCATAGTACAAGCTCTGCTTAGTTTGGGACTAGATGGCGTTGTGTGAATGTGGTAGAATATTATTATTATTATACATATTACAGATACTTAAGACACTGCTTCGGATGTATAATGATATTTGTCACGCAAATTGTATATTATCACGCATTATATAAACGCTGAGATTTTTGCTTTGCTTCTAGACTTACCACTGGTGCTTCTAAATTCGAGAACCGAGCTTTCAATTTCCGCGATGAAGAACTCAGGAGTAAGTTTGGAATTGGAACAGCTCGCATGGGCGGCTTCGGCATCAGGGATGTTCCTTTCAACGAGAGAAATTTCTCCGACGGTGAATTCAATGAACGGAACTTTCAAGACCAAAACTTTAATGATACAAATTTTAATGAAAGAAAAGATGGAAAGCTGTCCACCTCAAGTTTTCATAGAGATAGAGAACGGGAGAATCCCCTGGTCAGCAGAAACAGTTTTAATGGTTTTCCTAGAGTTGGAGGTACGAGAGACAGGGATAGTCATTTCCAAATGGCTCCAGATGGGAGGAATAAAAGAGTTTCAGAGTTTGAATGTGACATTTAGTTGGAAGAAGTAGACATAACTCAAGTGTAACCGATAAGGACTGATGATAACGGCTAGGTAACGGCTAGGAACGCCTAGTACTTGGGTAGTTACGAATATATTACTAGTGAATTGTATGGCTGAGAGTAATCGCTAATTCTTGTATATTAAGTATATAAACATGCGATTAATTTATTAGATGATTCTAATAATGATTTAACTATTGTATATAGTAAAATTTTTGTTCCTCGAAAGACTTTTCAAATATTTTTCTTCAATTTGAAGATACATATGGACTAAGGTCTCGTTTAGTGGTCAGTGAGGTATGTCTATAGATTTGAGGAATTCGGGAGGAATCTCTCGACTGAACGTGTGTGTAGATAAGTGTATATTATAGGCGTTACTTTGCCAAACATAAGCACTATTTTGATAAAACACTACATTCTGCACAAGTGTGATTACATGACATTTTTAATTTCAATCGCATGAAATTTATATTTGACAACTGTTGATAATTGTACATAGTCTTTTTTTGTAATTTATAACAGTATTTTTATATTAATGTATGTTGTGATTGTTTGTAGAATATAATGTAAATAGAGAACTGCTGTGTATGTGTATATTAGGTGCATAGGTTTATAATTAGTCTGCAGTATGATACAAGTCTTAAAGATATATTTTAAGAGCTGGGCTATTTATGCTCTGATTTTAGGCTTGTGTTAGAAAAGTTTCTTGTAGTCAATATTACTATAATTTACTTCATCAAAAGTTTAATGGATATATTATTTAAAAAAAAGCTTGAAAATTATTGTAAAAATGTTGGATCGTAATGGTGCTATGTAAAATTATATCACGGCTGTAGTGTTAAAAACAGATATCATTGTTATGTTATATTTTCAAAGGTTTAAACATATGTCTATCCCGGTTTGATATTGCTGTCTAGTCTCGTAAATTTGTATGATTGTATATTATTATTGGTTTGTAGATCTGATTTTATTGTAAGTTTAAAGAGATATTATTTTATCATAAACAATAAAAAGTATTGAAAATTATAAATTGTGTATGATTTTTGTTGTGTGGTCCGTGTGGTGACGGATTAAGAATACGGAGTGTCACCACCCCTATTCATCCCGTGGGTATCATAGTAGGCGACTAAAGGAGCTAACGCAGGACACCAGCACTGCAAAGAGAAGGAAGACTTGACACAAACCCTATACCAACCCGTCTGGCCAGCGTGGTATTGTAGGCCAACACCTCCTTTCTAAGAAGAGGCCTATGTTCAGCAGTGGACTATTAACGGCTGTTGATGTGATGATGTTCAAACAAAATGATGATTTAAGAATCAGAAATTGTTTGATTGTAATGTGCACTTAATGTTAACATAATTAGGGACACAATCAATACGCTAGTCAACAAAACGTGTTAATTCTTGATAAAGCTCCTAAAAATATGAGCGATGGCTCATTCGATCCGGAATGACGTCTAGAAAAATGTACGGAAATATCGAAAGTATGTATGTAACTTTTTTCTTGGCAATTTTCCTCCTCTTTAAAGATCTTTTTTCAAAATTCCTTAAATGTTAATTATTTTTGAGCTATAAACAAAAAACGAAATTCTATCTTTTTTATTTTAATTAGTTAAAACAAATGCAAGGTTGTATGTGGTAATACATACTTTCGATACATTTTTCTAGATTTCTAGCTTTTTATAGCTTTATCTAGAATTAACACGTTTTTGAACTTGTTGACTGGCATACAACCAGTCGTTACGTTGCGGGAAAATTGTCACTACCGGTAGAAGACATAGCGTAGCAAATATCAAATGGTTTTATCTTAGGATCTACGTACGAAAAAAGTTCGTAGCTTTATCTTTTACTAGCTGACCAGCGCAACTTCATCTGCGTCTCTCAATAGTATTAAATTTTCTCCATTTTTGAAACATTCTTCATGGGTGCTCCGCTCCTATTGGTCTTAGCGTGATGATATATAGCCTATAGCCTTCCTCGATAAATGGGCTATCTAACACTGAAAGATTTTTTTCGGACAATCGAAAAATCGGACCAGTAGTTCCTGAGATTAGCGCGTTCAAACAAACAAAGAAACAAACAAACTCTTCAGCTTTATAATATTTGTATAGATTTTCAATACGGTTAAATTTATACTACTAACGGTAGTAAGAAGACATAACTAAGACAAGTATTTTTTTCTTTTTTCTGTAATAAAATTGACACATGCAAATTTCAAATTCAGAATTAATAACGCCAGCTCTTTTGCATAGTGATGCACCTACGATACCGGTTTGTTGAATCGTAACTTCTTAGCTTTATTTATTCGACGATTAGTTCCAAGGGGTATTGTTAAAATCCACGTACGTAAACATATCGCACCAGGAAGCTGGATTCGTTATCTTCTTTTAGATGGTGAAAAGCGCAAATTTAAAATTGGCTAAAATCAAAAGAATATTCCGTATGAACAGTTAGAAGAATTTAGAAGACAATGTTAAAATACGAATTATCTAAAATTATCCGAATGCACAAAAAACCCACGAAATGTAGGTATGTCGTCGACGAGATGGCTGCTGGACAGGGTGTCATTATTTTGCGACTACCATCTCACCACTGCGAGCTAAACCTGATTGAGTTGGTCTGTGCTTAAGTAAGTTAACATGTCGCTAAAAATAATAAAAACTTCGAATTGAATGAAGTACTAAGCCTATTTCTCAAGTGACCCCGCAAAGATGGAAAGACTGTGTGGCTCATGTTGTGTTATCACAGTTGCCAGATCGATAGTTGATCAGAACTGAATTTTGAATACGAGATTTAGTCTTCTGTTCAACAAGCGTTCACATTGCGGGTCGCGCTCAACATCACTATCTCACAAAACGAGATGGTGGCATCCCACGTACTTTTCCTGCATATCATGGTAACAATCGACCAAGACTGTATCAAACAATTTAGGTTCTTAATTTACTAAACTCCTTGGGCACTTTTATCAGTCTCATTATATTGTAAATAGTGACATCTATATTACAGTTTATAAACTTGTTTGAAGTCGCTGTCGCTGAAATATCCAATAAAAGATGATGCAACAGCTTAGAAAACGACAGATGTCGCTGTTACACAGTCATTTCTCTTGTTAAGTAGAGTTTAGTTAAGAGGTTCTTCTCGTAGACCCCAGCTAGGATCTCGGGGTGACTTCTCCAGGCCACGGCCTGTTTAAGTGGTTTTCCGCGCCGCCTGCCACTACAGGCGGGTCACTGGGTTGGGCCCGGATGGGCCTGTTGGTAGTTCCGGGGGGTGATTAGTCCGGTGGGGAGCGTGGCTAATGAGGTCAAGTCAGTGCGGGTGGGCCCCGCAGACAAACAGCTCACTAGCTACGCCCGGGTTTCGTCCAGTGTATCCCCCTGTGCTTGGCGAGGTCGAGCTCCGAGGGATAATGACCCCGAGGAGCGCCCATCAGCCAGCATCAGGTCGGGTGTTGTGGTTGATCCAGTAGGGTTTGCCACGGAGACTAAGTCTCGCGGCAGGCCATGCCTGTCCGGCGGTCGACGATGATAGGGCGCAAGCTCCCGCAGGTGGCGGGCTTGCGAGCCGTCAGCACGCACGAACAAGTTTGTGCTCAAGCGTCTCACGAAATCGTCCAGGCTCTCCACGCGCAGATCCCTGGATATCGTCCTGTTCCGCACAAAGCGAGGGGCGTTGGCAAGGGTGCGTAGTGCGAGCGACTGTTGCGCACGCAACCGGCGTCGGTTCGTTTCGGATACGAGCGCGAACCAGGCCGGAGCACCATATGTGAGTCGGGTGCGAATGTACGCCTTGTACACACCGAGCTTAGCACGGAGCGGCAATCGGGACGATAGTACGGGCCGCAGAAGGGAGCGTGCGGCACGAACCTGGGCTACGACATTTTTGACGTGGGGCTTCATAGAGAGGGTGCGGTCGATGGTCACGCCGAGGTATTTCACCGTCGCGGACCACTCGATATTCTGGCCCATGAGCTTCAGCTGTGGTAGGGTCATGCTTCCGATGGAGATCGCCTGAGTCTTCGCCACGTTGACCGTCAGTCTCCAGTCCTTCAGCCAGCTGGGAAGTGCGTCTAGAGTGCGCTGCATCTTGGTAGTAGCGTTGGCACCTTTTAGTGACGTCGCGATGTAGGCAGCGTCGTCGGCGTACAGCGCGAGTTTCACGCCGTCGGTAACGGGGATATCGTCTGTGTACCAAGAGTAGCACACGGGAGACATGCAACTTCCCTGCGGCACACCGGCAAAGATCGGTCGCTCTGTGGACAGGGCGTCTTCAACTGCCACTTGAAAGCGTCTGTCCTGCAGGAAGGTGGCCACAATCTTCACTACTCGGCGGGGAGTAGTAGATGTGGACAGCTTGTACAGCAGGCCGGCGTGCCAGACGCGGTCGAACGCCTTCTCCATGTCGAGGAAGACTGCTACAACCCGCTCGCGCTTGTTGCGTGCAACCGTGATGTCATGCAGTACCCTCGCAAGCTGGTGCGTCGTGGAGTGTTCGGCGCGAAATCCGAACTGTTCGTCGCGTGGCTGAAGGTGTGGTGTCATGTGCAGCAGTAGCAATTTCTCGAACAACTTCGACGTCGTTGAGAGGAGAGTAATGGGGCGATAGCTTCCCGGTAAGAGGATACTCTTCCCCGGCTTGGGCAGCATGATGACTCTGCCAAGTCGCCATGCGGTGGGAAAGTGTCCGGTGCGGAGGATGCCGTTGAAGAGACGCGTCAGCGTCGCGATTGCTCGCGGAGGTAGGTGACGCAGGGCTTCATTGGTAACCCGGTCGGGACCGGGCGCTTTACGAAGAGGCGTTTGGTGAATCAGCCGCTGGATTTGACCAGGGGAGATGATGACAGGGTCCTCAGTCGGGGCTATCGGCTGCTCAAAGTACAACTCGAGCTTCCTCTCGACCTCTGCCACGTGCTGTCACCGTCACGTCACCGGCCATCAGGGGCCTAATCGGAGCTGGTTTCCCGGAAAGTTGGCGACACAGGCGGTGTATGCCCGAC